TTTAGAGGGATCGATAGGGTTCTCGGAGTCGTTTCTGAGAATGTTGATGAGGCGGCGGGTCTCCTCATGGGTCAAGTTCTCAGTGGCCAGAATGTTCATAGCCCGGTCGCGATCTGCCTTATTCGTGATGCCCTCCAGACCCTTCTCAAGGACGTTGTTCTTGAATTGCAACTTCTTCGCCTCTCTTTCCTCCTTACTTAATTTAGAATCTGATTTCTCAGCTTGTGGTTCAGCGGACTCCTCGGTCGATGCTTCAGCTGAACCCTCGGCATTGGCTGCTTTAGCCAGTGTTGAGTCAGCCTTTCGGAAGGTATCGACAGACTCAAGTTTTGTGATGTGAGCCTGAATCTGACGGAGGAGGTCTCGTCCGTCAAGTTCACGAGCCTCAGGAAGAGACAGAAAACGCTGGGCAGTGTCGCGGAATAGTCGTAGATCTTTCTTCTGCTTAGCAGACAGGTTTCTCATATCACCCTTGAGAATCTCTCTGGCGGTTGTTCGGAGGTTTTTGACACGGTGTAGCTGCACCTCTCGCTCAACACGCTTGCGCGCGTTTTTTCCAAGAGCCTTTGCATCAGCAGACTCAGCTTCCTCTCCCTCCTTAGCAACAGCCTCGAGAACCTTGGATCGCTTCTTCAGCCCATGCTTTCTGACTGACTCTTCTTGTTGGTCGAGCATCTCCTTCTCACGGCTTTCCATAGTTGTATACTCAGCTGTCTTTTGCTCTCCAGTGCCATATAGAACTTTCTCAACCTCAACTTGGAACATATCACCAGGATTCAATGCGTACGATGGATGGACCATCTGTCAAATGTTAGAGCAATCCGTGATGGAAGTTTTTTATTAAAACAAACCTTCTTGCCGTTCACCTTGACAGCTCCGTGAATGATAAATTGACGGGCTTGTCGTACACTGCTGGCAAACATGGCCCGGAAGACAGCGGTATCCAACCTTCGCTCCAATGGGGCGAATGTCATTTGCATATAAGGTGTCATGTTCTGGAAATGCTCTGAGAGCATATCATTCACATTTCCAAAAGCTCGGCCTCGCTGAGCAGGATGAGAAGGACTTCGGACTGTTGTGCTGCCTTGGGGAACTCTGGAGTATGTCTCGGCGGTCACATTGGATGTCGTCAGACCTGAACCACGACCAGCCGCCTGCTCGGCACCATCGTTGGCGGCTAGGTATTCGGGAGGGAGATCGACAGCGGATTGAAGACGTCTTGAAAAGAGCCGCACCCACTTCTTCTCGGAAACATGCTCGCCGTGATAACCTCGGGTCTTCGATTTGGCTGCCCATTTCTGCTGGAAAAATGTTGCTCGACTGTTGACTTGGGGCTCCCGACCAGCTGCACGGGCGATGTTAAACAGATTGTACTTGTTCCATGATTGCCTGAGTTTCTATATGGTGTGTCGGTTAGCAAGGCAAAATTCACCTTCTGCGGGGTGGCACAGCCAGCCCGGGACAATTGGGACCAAAAGTTGAGCATACCGGTCTCGTCAGACTATAGTACTTCGTAGGCCGACGCATATTGGCAGATTGAGGCCCACGGTGCTGGGAACTGGCTCGTCGTGATTGTCGTCGAGAGCCAAATTTTTGGCATCCATTCAACTGGATCACCGGATTATCTCGTGGGCCCGGCTGTGGTTCAATTCAGACTCACTCGCTTATGTCAGCTGGAGAAGTTGAGAATATGTGGGTCCTCGCTGGCTTACACGCAGGACGCGACTCAATTAAACACGACGCGTCCCTAGCTCAGAGACGTCCCAAGGGAATTCATGAGTCCCACCAGCAACACCACTATTTTCAAAATCCTTCAAGGTTAAGGATATTTTACTTCTAATACTCTTGAAAGTCCATCCACAATGCTTTCAGCGTCGTCACCTATCACTTTCCCTCACTCTCCACCGCCGGCGAAACGAGCCAAACCCCACGATCATAGCCCTCCTAAACCGAAAGCTCGAGGTCCATTCCTTGTTGAGGACGACGATTCCGATTCGGACATCAATGGCGAACCTACTGACTCTACTCGTGTGGCGAAACGTCTAATGACCGAGGATCCACGAGAGAAGCCTTCAGGTACCATCGCACAAGACCAAACAACAACTATTGATCTAGTTGATGAGGAAGAACCCTCAAACACTCCCAATGTGCAAGCTCAAGAACCAACACGACTGAGCCAAAGACCAATCTTCACCACTCCGATTTTCAGTAATCTTGTGCCGCAATCTTTCAAGGCCACAGCATGTAACGGTAAATCCGTCACTATCAAGGAGCGAAAGGCCAACTGTGCGCCAACATACGAGTCCATGGTCGCAGCTCGATCGAAAACGAAAGAAGGGCGAGCGAAACGAAGCTACTACGGCGTTGATATTCATAATCTCATGAGCGCTGCATCTGCAGAGGTCGCAAGTCAGAAACAAAAGCAGCCGCAAAGGCCCAATGTGCCTGTTCAATCGGTCGAGCCACAGCTGTCGAACAGCAAAAGGCCCAAAAGAACTCGCTTATGGACGGAGAAATACCGGGCAAGGAGCTTTATGGATCTGTGTGGTAACGATAATACCAACAGACGGGTATTGGGATGGTTGAAAAAGTGGGACCCCGTGGTGTTCCCCGGAGCAGCAAAGTCAAGACCTGTGATAGCCAGACGACCAGGTGCTCAGCAACCAGAAGAGGAGGAAAAGCCTCATAGAAAGATCTTGCTGCTCACAGGACCTCCGGGACTGGGAAAGACAACGTTGGCACACGTGTGTGCGAGACAAGCTGGCTACGAGGTTATGGAAATTAACGCCAGTGACGACCGAAGTCGCGATGTCGTCAAAAATCGTATCCGCACAAGTCTGGGAACAGAGAGTGTCAAAACTGTCAGTAACCGCAAGGACGGAGACGGCCCCCCGAAATTGGCTAAACCAGCATGTGTCGTGGTGGATGAAGTGGATGGCGTTGTATCTGGTTCAGGGGGTTCAGGCGAAGGTGGTTTTGTCAAAGCACTGATAGATCTTGTTCTCCTGGACCAGAAGAATGCGTCGGGTGCCACCACAGAAAATTATGGGCGACAGAAGAAGAAGGGTGACGACTTTCGACTGCTCCGACCCCTGATTCTCATTTGTAATGATGTTTACGCGCCAGCGCTTCGACCACTCCGGCATTCCAATTTGGCTGAAATTATTCACGTTGGCAAACCCAGTATGGAGTCGGTGGTTACCAGGCTCAAGAATATTTTTGAAAAGGAAGGTATCCCTTGCGAGAAAGATGCTGCACGAAAGTTGTGTGAGGCGGCCTGGGGTATGACGAGCGGCATTGACGCTAGACGAGGAGCTGAGAGCACAGTGGAGGGTGACCTCCGGGGTGTCATGGTCGTTGGTGAATGGGTAGCGGGACGATTTCGCGCATCAAATCTGAAAGGAAAAGGCTCTCTCACGAGGCAATGGCTGGAGCGCAATGTCCTTCAAGATCTAACGAGCGGCGCTGGTGGTGCTCGAGGTCTTGGCCGAGGTGGTGTCAAGGACATTGTTTCACGCCTCTTCCAAGAAGGAGGCGGCTTTCCAAAGCAAGCAATGGATCTGTCTCAATCCAAAACACAGCATGAGCAACCGCAGGCTGAGCTGGGTTTCGGCGAGTATCAAAAGAAGCATGCCATGGAAAGACTTGGGCAAATGATTGATACAAGCGGCGAAATCAGCCATATCATGACGGAAGTTTTCACCGAATACCCAAATCGCGATTTCAACGATGATCTGTACCTTACCAAGCCTAATCAAGCATACGAATGGCTGCACTTCCACGACACATGTCAGTCACGGCTTTATGCTAGCCAGGAGTGGGAATTGGCACAATACCTCAGCCAGCCCGTTCTAGCGTGCCATCACCTTTTCGCATCCCCCAAGCGCTATCTTCCCAGCATGGGCTACGATCGCCGCTGGGGTGTTGATGCGGAGGATAACTCTGCGCCTCCACTGCCATTCTCTGGTTCTCGAGCTGATTATCAAGCTTTCGAAGCAGAGCGTCAGAACAGGACTCAGCTCCAGGCTTTGCAGGGACAGCTCCCACCGACACTGATGCGTTCGTTCCGCAGCGCTGAAGATGTTGCCGCCGAGTTCCTCCCTTATCTTGCACGTATTGTCTCTCCGGACGTAAAGCCCGTTGTGGTGGGTGGTAGTCAAGGATCCACGGCTAGCGTACGCAGGGAGAGCGAACGTGCCATGGTCAAACGTGCAGCTGATGTTCTTGCCGAAGTCGGTATCGAGCTGCAGAAGGGAAGAATTGAGAGTGAGTCGCTCACCAATCGGACACCACAATATGTGTATCGCATGGAACCGTAAGTCATTATCTACCTCGAAGAGGTGAACACAACTAACATTACTACAGGGATCTTGATGTTCTGGCCACTTTCGAAACAGCTGCATCACTTCTTCTACCCTCGGCAGCACCTACACGCTATGCTGTTCGTCAAGTTCTCGACCAAGAACTGAAACGAACATTAGTGGAACGGGAAGCTCGCGCTCGACAGTCCCGCTTCAAAGCAGGCAACCCACTTGGACATGCTGAACACCTCAGCACAGACAAGATTATGGCTTCCAAGAAACATGCACTCGAAGCATCATTTCAGGAGACTACACTCATCAAGCGTGATTTCTTCGGCCGAATCATAGAGGCGCGGCCGCTAGCTGAGATGACGAAGAATACTCCCGAGCAGCAAGCCAAGCAGGACGAAAAGGAGCGCAAGGTGTGGGTGACGTATCATGAAGGATTGAATAACGCTGTGAGAAAACCAATGTCTTTGCAAGAATTTTTGAGAGGATTATAAGAGCGCGGTACCATGGGGGGATATGGATTTGTGAATAGCATTGAGTCAAATTAGCATTGGTTGCATAGCGATGTTGAAATTTATCCTTAATTTTATAACAGGTTCCGACGCTATAAAGAACTCGTGTATCTAAACTTCTCTACATCTAAGGCTACAACAAATTAACAAATGACAAGTCTTATCAAGCACAGCTCGTCTAGAGTTTCGCTTTGGGGGTGTCCTGCTTAGGTCCAGCCTTGGGTCTCTGAGCAGGCACAGACAAAGGATCATACACAGTAGATGAAAGATTATCCGATGGCACAGCAGAATGCTGGAACAGACTTCGCAGGTCAAGCATACCGGGATGCAAATCCTCGATCTTGCTAGCACCAATGAGGCGCATATTCATTTCCAGCTCATCCTTCAGCAGCTGCATAGCTCGTACGACACCAGCCTCACCATAAGCACTCATGGCGTACAGGAAAGGTCGTCCGATACCGACGCCACGAGCACCCAGGCAGAGAGCCTTGAGGATATCAGTTCCACGGCGGATTCCGCCATCGATGAAAATCTCAATCTTGTTCTCGAGACCGCGCTCGCGGAGAACAGGCATTGTCTCGGCGAGAACCTCAATGGCGGACCGGGCAAACTCAAGCTGACGACCTCCGTGGTTGGAGAGAACAACGCCCTGGCAGCCGTAGTCAATAGCCTTGAGGACATCTTCGACGCGCTGGACACCCTTGAGGATAATAGGCATGGACGTAATACTCTGGAACCAGGCAATGTCCTTCCAGCTCAGTGCAGGGTCAATGAACGTCGAGATAGCGCGCGCAGCACCTTGGCTGTTATCCGTGTCTGTGCCCTCTTGGACGTGAGAACCAGGATCGGTAAACTTAGATCTCATATCCTTCTCGCGACGTCCCAGCTGGGGCGCATCAACGGTGATGAAGAGACCCTTGCAACCACGCTTCTCGGCATGTTGCACGATCTTCTTAGTGATGGCACGGTCCTTGTTGACGTAGAGCTGCAGCCACTGGATCTGATCGCCTGCTTTTGCGTCCACAATCTCGTCAAAGGAGCAGGATGCAAGAGTGGGGATCATCTGAATGATGTTGTGCTTTGCTGCGGCGCGGGTGAGGACGACTTCACCCTCTGGGTTACCAAGTTTACCGAGGGCTGTGGCTGTTACATAAACGGGGATGTCTGTTTTTGTGCCGAGCATGGTGGTTGAGAAGTCGATGTTTTCCACGTCGACGAGGATTTGAGGACGAAACCAGATGCGATGGAACGCGCTGTGGTTCTCCCGCATTGTCTATTCACAGTTAGATAACTTGCTCAGTAGTTGTGCAAGGAAAACTTACAATCTCATCGTCGGCAGCGCTGGAGTAGTATCCCCATGCAGTCTTTGACATCACACGTCGAGCGACAGCCTCAAAATCGAAGAGGTTATAGCATTGCGACAGAAGAGGCTTCTGCTCAATGCGCTGCAGGCGTTCCTCTTCCTCTGGGTCTACCTCTTTCTTCTCCTGCTGGACGGTGCCCATATCGACAGGGCCGAGATGCTTGGAAGCATCAAGATACTTGTCGAGGGTGTCGGGAGGATGAATTGGTTCGTATTCTTCGGTAGCATCCTTACCCTGGCACGTGTTAGTAGATGGGTAATGTTCAGTAAAGGGTGACACCTACAGCGTATTTGAGAATGATCTTTTGACCTCCAGGGTGTTCTGCAAGTCGTCAGTTTTATCCAGCGTTCACTTTTTTGAGCGTATCATACCTGGCAGAAATTCTGTCACATCATATGCTTTACCCTGTCGCATTCAAGTCAGTAAAAGTCGGTAAGTCGCAACTCAATTCATGGGGTCCATACGTGAACGATAACCCAGCACGACTTTGCGCTGTTGTGCTCAGCAACCTCGCCGCCTTTCAACACCATTTTGACAGTATTCGATTTGTTGTTTGTTGCAAGAAACGTGCATCGACTGAGGAAAAAAGAGGAGCGCGTTGCCTTTTGCCCGAGGATGAATGACGAAATAGGCTCTTGATCGACAGGGTATAGCCTATATGTGGATATCTTGCGTCTAGATCTTGGGAGACAAAGTCAAGCAATCAAAGGCCAAAAGATTCAGGAGTAAAATGAAAGTGAGAAGATGAGAAGATAAGAGTATAAGAAGAATAAAAATACAAAAAACAATCCCTTGAGAATCCGAACACGGAGACCGGATAGTCAGGGAATAACGGGTAGCGGAACGAAGCCGAGTCGGTTCGGCGACATGACCGGTCTGAAAGTTCAACCTCCTGGTTCGAGCTCAGTAACCTCAGTTCACTTCTGCGGGGAAAGACTCCATAAATCATCTTGAACAGCCTCTAAAATTGCTTGTATTACTCCCAACATGCACCATCAAGTCTAGCGCCCAATCTTAGTTGGGGTTAAACAGCTCGGGCACTCGGGGTAAAGCCATGCGGGGTGCCTGGGGGGCTTTTTAGCCTCATTACACCACAACCACAACCTCGGTTTAAAGTGTGGCGAGTCTAAGCTTAGGTAACCTTATAAGATGGAACAAATGTTGTTGGCAATTCTTCTCTAGTCATGTCGTATTCTTCCGCTCAGCTCTCATAGCCGTAATGCCTGAACACAATTGCTTTTCCTTTCATCACCATATCCCTTCTCTTTAGGTCAGACAAATGCATCATAGCCAAATGTATCTCAAAAGTCATCGGCAATCATAGTAGTCGTCTGTTGACTACTATGTCACGCCCAGCTCCTGAACCCGACGACTCGCTTTCACTTTCTAATTACTTCCATGCATTCAGCCCTGCCCAGGGATCATTTTGCTGCTGTTGCTGAGGGACTGCTGATTGAGGATGCGCACTCTGTGGATAAGCACTGTTTGGGTGCGCGCTGCTAGGCTGATTTCCATAATGAAATGTCTGTTGAGGTCCAAGCGGTGGTGGCCCAGGAGGTGGCGGAGGTGGCACGAATCCAGGTGGCACATAGCCTCCCTGTGTCTGTGGTGTAGCTGAAGCTCCGTATCCTCCAAATGATTGAGTTTGCCCGAACGTTGTCTGGTTAGGAGGCGGTGATGCAGGGCCCCGGTAGCCTCCGATGTTGAACGACGTTTGGTTCGGGGGAGGCGACGTAGGTCCGGGTGTACGTCCATACTGACTTGGGTTATATGTAGGCTGCACGAAAGTGTTGATAGGAGGAGGTCCGAACGATTGTGTTGTTGGTGGCGGAGAAAAGTTCTGGTATGCTTGTTGTTGAGCCAGGGTCTGTTGCTGCACCGGAGGTGAGTTCGGCGCCTGATACTGGCCTTGGTAATTGGTTTGCGGATATCGAGGATTCTGTCCCTGTTGATACTGCGAGGGGGGTGTTGGCCGATTTTGCGTCTGAGGCTGTGGCGATGACTTGGAAGGGTCTATCGACATTCGGTCCATGAGACCCCTGAGTCTCTCTCGCTCCATCTCGGCCTGCGAGTTCTTGCTCGATGACCGTTCCTGCTCAATTTGGTTTAGTAGCTGCGCGCCCTCAGATCTACGGTTGTTGACAAAGCTGTCGACGTTCTTCTCCAAGCTCTCTACTGTCTCGCGCATCTCAGTATACCAATTTTTGGCGCTCTGTAAGCCTGCGACAAGGTCCAGGAATTCCTGGTATGCACGCTTATATCGGTTGATGACTGACGATCGCTGCCGCTGGATTGCCTCATATTTGCTCTGTTCCGATTGAACTCGCTTATCCTGCAATAATCTGTTGAACGTGTTCGTGAGCTCCTTCATCAAAGCCGACTGCTTGTGATTGGCTTGCAAAAGCCGGTTTTGATGAGGCCGGAACTTTTCCAGCTCTTGCTCAAAGAGCTGCGTCTCATAATTAGATATGGACTTCTTATTCAATATGAGAATCTGGGAAATATCGTCGTTGTGGGCCTAGCAATGTTAGTCCGGTTTCTGATTCAATACCAGTGACTTTACTCACCTTCTCCTTCAAATCCTTCAGCACCTGATTTCGTTCTCGCTTGATAAGGTTGAGTTTCTTGAGAATATCCTCAACCCTGTTGATCTGATCCACTACACTAGGACCCTCTTCAAAATCGTCATCCAGAAGATTCGGCTCGATGCCAGCTGGGCTTGTTGCGTTACTTCCCCTTGCTCGCGCTTGTGCAACGGCACGTTGGAACAGCTGGTCGACTTCTCCTGACTGAGCAGCCCGTCGCATTTCATCAAAATCCATTTCGTTCTGTCGAAGTTTGCCCGCTAGCTGGTTATCACTCCTCGATGCTTCATCTAAAGCCTCACGGTAATGGCGAATGTCGCCCCGTAATGTCGTTGTGAGTCTCGAGCTTGGCTGCTGTGTCCAGTCGTTTTCATACTTGGATCGCATTTTTTCACATACACCTTCCTCCATATCGAGTTGCTTCGTGCTCTTATCCAGGATCATGAGGATGGAATCCTTCTCAGACCGGAGCGAATCGAACAAGGTTACCGGATTGTCTTGGTCAGAAACATCAGCGCACCACTGTCGGAAGTCCTCGTCAGGCAGGATATCCTGGTCGAATCCACCCTTGAGCACTTGCAATGCTCCTGGCAGCCTCAAATAATCGAGACTAGCCGCCATTTCATCATTGGCCGTTTCCACCCGTTCTGCCTCAGCTCGTACAAGCTTGGCTTTCTCTTCATCATACAAGCTGGCAGACTCCGTAACAGCAAACGGCACAATTTTAGCGAAAAGGTCAGGTCCAGTGATTCGTTGAATGTCTTGGCCAGCATATAGCTCGCTAACAGGAATTGGCTTCGCGGCTGGCAGCTTGGCGACGGCTTCCAGGCTGGCCTCGGCGGGCACTTCTTGATGGTACACATAGTCATTATCCCTCAAAGCACTTTGCAGCTGAGTTTGCACTGTCGAGTGATGTCTTTTCGTAATTTCCTGAAGAAATCCTCCACAGTCGGCACTCAGGTTCGAGCTCATGGGAACCGAGCTAGGAAAGTTCCTAGCAATGCGCTCGGCTTCCTTTGCTTGGGCCTCGGCAACTTGCAGTCTTCCAGCAGCGATACCATGCTGGTTAGCCTCGTCATCCGCTAATGCTTGATAGTATTGTGCCATAGAGTTCAGCAGGTTGGTTTTGATCTGGTGCTGTTAGCGAACATACAACATCAAGAATGAGCCATGTTGAATGGCGACGGGTGAATCTACCTGTATCATTAACAGCCACACTTTCTCAAAAATAGCCTTGTTCACATTTTCCTGGACACCTTCAAGGGCCTGGCCATATAGATAGCCAGCCTGAGCAGCCAACTTTGCGAGCAACCCAATCTTTTTCTTATCAGCAATTTGCTTTTCAAGGAATACTTCCTGAGCTTGTGCGAGCATGATATGAATCAGTGCCTTGACAGTCTCTCTACTAAGGTCGGATGATGGCGCATGGAGGAAGTTTTCGTTGATGTAAGTGAACATGCCAGCCGAAGCCTGAAAGTTGTGGTAGGCAGTCTTGAGGGCGGACTCCTCGGCGCGGTCTTGAGCAGCAGCGTGACAGGAGAGAACAGCAGAGATGTTGAAGATGATAGAGGCTTTCTCGAAGGCGAGTGAATATTGCGCAGTAGATTTGTGTGTGAATGCGTCGAACCTGATTATAGAAAATCAGCAGGTGTCAAAAGGTGCAGCGCACCATCCAGTCGAACTCGACCTCGGGGAAACGAACCATGTAAAGGATATCTTGATGTGCTGCTCATCAACAGGAAATCGTAGGTCAAGAAGCTCGAGCTGCCCATAGTAGCGATAAAGCATATCTCGTCCAGAAGTACTATCCTTTCCAGCGCCCCGCACATCTTGTCTCAATCGATTCAGTGTCGCACACTCCTCTGCATAGCGTTCTGGATCATCGCCATAAGTATCGCGGATATAGCCCTTCAGAGGCTCAATCCAGTCAATCTCGTTGGTAGCCTTGAGAGGCACCGAGATCATCGGAGACTGTGCCATGGCAGGCAACAGCTAAAGGTCGAATAGCGTAGTGGCGCGATCAGATAGGACTACGGATCGAGGTGAGGGAGAAGAAAGGTATGTGGCCAATATGCAGCTGAGCGTGGAGATGTCTACTGGAGCTCCAAGTTGGCGGTCGCACAGATGCAGCTAAGGGTTGCAGGAGATGCCGGGTGGAATGACGAGGCTGAGGAAGAGACAGATCAAGTCCCTGGATATTGACGACGATAGCCGGCTGGCCGCTTGCAATGCGACCCGATCTATATACGATTCGAAGTGCGTGGTAAGAACGGGAGTAAGAGGCGGGTCGTGAGAGGATGGTTTGGGGGCGGTAGCGGGGACAGCTACAGTACGAAGCCGGCCAAGAGCTAGAGAGACCGCAGAGCCAAATAAGCTCGAGGGAGATGCAGCTGGGATGCACTGTTGACAGGGGCCGTTGAGGGGTGGTGTCGAGAGGAAATCTGTCAGCGAAAGCTGCAAGAAGACACACCAGTCGACAATAAATCGTCCCACGCAGATTGTGAGGGACGAACAGAGACGTGTCTTGGTTTAAGTTGAGTCGAAGGTTGAGTCGAGGTTGAGAGTTTGATGGAGAGCGGGGTCCGTCAGGCCCAGTTGGCGTACGGCGGTGACGAAATAGGTCCAGGGGGCCGTCGAAGCGCGGTAAGGGTACCTAAGACATGAGGTAGGCCCAGGAACAATGTTTTGTCACATTCAGATGAGGGCAATAAACACTGCAGTTTACTCTGGAGTGCCGCAGCTGATGAGATGGATAAAAGTCTAGACCCGTGGCATGTACAAAAAGGTAGCTCTAGAGACGGCTAAATTTGGACGGAAGCACTTTGAGCTGGGCCACCTTCTGATTTTGGAGACCACCCGACATTACAGAGCTTACCTTCTGTACTGCGCCTATGGAGCATCGTCTAATTCACCAACTGTAACCATAGGTACAGTATGGAATGCCCACGCTTAATTCATGCATACATACTACAATATTCAATGCCTGCGACATACAGTCATCTTCCATCACCACTGGCTCATGATAGCCCCCGTCGCCGTCTCATCGCGGGATATATCTCCACTCAAGCACCCCAGGGGCCCAGAACATGAGCTTTTAGTGCCAAACCGCATCAACAACCGCCTGATGGGCCATTTTAGGCCCAATATCAACAGCCAGTAACGTTGCAAAGGTGCCTTGTAAACCAATTCTCGTCCCGTATCTCGTGGCTCGACTATTCCTGGCTTGTCTAAGCCTCATTGATTAACCGCCGCCATATTGTCCTCTTCACTTTAATCCGACACTATCACAGACCGATAATAATGTTGAGTTCGGTTCGTGATAACATTCATGGGCCGCGTTATTACTTACGTGGAGAGATGCGAATCACAGCTGCCTGTTGATACTAGCTTCGTCAAATGCGTACTACGAGCTGATGAATTCACTAGGCATCACAGTTTTCAATGCATGGGACTGGCCAGATTGGTTCTATGGACAATGGCCGTCAATATTCATATCACTTCCTGAATAGCTTCCGGTGATCTCGACTCAGACCTGCAAGGCGATTCGTTCGACAGTCACGCCAAAATCAAGCCTCATCATTATCATGTACGCCAAGACGTTTTTCCCTCCCGACCATCACACTTTCTTTGATCAATAAAATGGGAACTATTCTACTTATTTGCTTGGGGTCACCGGTCGGGGCTCCCCAATCATCTCAATCACATCTAATCACAACCCAATAGAAGCACATGGGAAAGACATATTCATGTTTGCTTCGTAGTCCATGCATGAAGCATGTCACATGTTCAGGCTCACATCGATTGATAGGTAGAGAACATCCTAATGGTCTGCCGAACTATCAAAGTTGCAGTTGGACCATCAACGATTTGCTCAACTCGATATCACTCACATACATACAAAAGACCCTCGTCTGATGACTCGGGGCTAATGCAAGTGACGCTGGCCTCATCCTAGCCAGGAACGCTCGTTCTATCTACCATTGGTCAGTTCTTCACAAAACCAACAAGGAATCCCGCCCCAATCCGTAGCAATGAGCGGCCCGCTTCTGCAGGGGTCTTGATCCCTCTCAAAGGGTCGCCGCGGCCTATTATGCGACCCCATCTCTAACTATTCCCAACCGTTCGCTACGAGTTCGAGATATGACCAACCTTGTCAGAAGTCTATAAACCAAGTGGTATGCATAGAACGTCCTGCCTCTTTGTATCGGCATCCTGAGTTTATAATAGAGGTGGAAATACAGGGACATACGAGATGGTCAGATACATGAACTCTAGTTGGGCAGAGTTACATCAGACCATCTCAAGCTAGCCCCAGGCTCACTTGTCACACCGCAAACTGCCTCGATGTGTCGGGTGCTATTGACGACGGGGCTGATCACTCTTCTAGTAAAATAGCCGACGGCTTGCATTTCTTGATCGCAAGACTGATCTGAACATCACCGGATCCACCTGTTGGTCTCTAAATTGAAAAGTACGACTGCCGACGTTAGGTCATTGCCGGCAAGTCAGTATCCACTATTCACGTTCTCTACACTGGAGTGGTTCGCGCTGTAGACGACTTTTTGCAAGGTTTCCGAGGGGATTCCAGTTACTTTTTATATATAATGATATCCCGTACTCATAGCTGTGTTCTGACCAGTATCTGTACATTGATTTGTGATGCGTGGCATGGTCTCATCCCTCATAATGTGTTTGCCAACTGATGGTCACGAGAGACTTCGTTACCGAAACACGGATCTAAGTCGAAGGCGGCTATTTAACAAGTGATTACTGTATCAATAATAAAAAGCCCCTTCAACGAATCGTTCACATTTGAGAAAATCCATCCTGCGCTTGGTCTCCAGGGTAAGGTTGCATTAGGATGGTATATGTAATACAACGATACAGGCGCTGACTCTGCGAGAGTAAGATTTAGCAGAGACCATAGCCTAGGTGGACGTACAGCATATGTGGACGCTGAGATGTCCTTTACTTAGTGACGTCCATGAAACAGCCCCGGGATATTCGGCGAAGGCGTATAAAAAAGCGGGCCGTACCCGGAAGCTAACGTCCGGCCGGATCGGGATCGAATCTGGAAGGCCCTCTTCTTCTCTGGCTCACGTGCCAAGTCTCTTGCGAAGATGTACGTATCTGTACTGAATGAGGGACCGACAAGTGATGTAATTACACTGGGTCTATCGAGAACTTCGCATTGTACCACGTTATGACCCTGATTCAATTATCATTGTCGCCTGACGTCAACGATAGTGATGACAAAATGACGATGGATTCGGCTGTTGAACTCAACATTATATCAGCCGCGAGTGGCCATATATCAATGAGAATTGCTACAGCTTAGTTGCCCGCTGTCACTCATCCTGAAGAAAAATTACACTTTGCATTGAACCTCAAAATGTCGACACCAGCAGCCCCCTTCTATCAGCTCCGTTGCGGCTGCAACCAATACCCATGGGGTAAACAAGGTTCCAACTCTCTATCTGCACGACTTTGTGAAAAGACGCCGGGATGGGATGGGGATGGAAAGAAGAACTTCAAGATTGACGAGGACAAGCCATATGCTGAGATGTGGATGGGCACATACCCCGTGCTGCCATCCTATGTTGCTAGCACGGGCGAAGATCTCCAAGACGTTCTGGACCGATACCCTAAGGAACTGTTGGGGGAGAAAATCCCTTCGAAGTTTGGACACAGCAAGCTTCCATACCTTCCCAAGGTTCTCTCTATTGCGAAAGCATTGCCATTGCAGGTCCATCCTAACAGGGAGTTTTCGAGTAAGAAGCACAAGGAGGACCCAGACTCATTCACGGACGGCAACCACAAGCCAGAAATCGCCCTCGCATTGTCTGAGTTTGAGGCTTTTTGTGGCTTCAAACCTGTTGAGGCTATCGTGGATATCTTACGCCAGAAGCCTTTGAGACACTTTCTTGTCGCCGGTGGCGCAACTGTCGCGGATGAGAAGCTCAGTCAAGAAGGATTGAAGCAGGTCGTCAAAACTATGTTAACATCATCTGACGAAGACATCAAGAAGGCTTTCCAGGCAATCCGGGAACTCCCCGACTCTGCCTTTACGGGACTTAACTCAGCCATTCCACAGGTTGCCAAGAAACTCGAGAAGAATTTCCCAGCAAACGACCCTGGTAATCTGGTCGGACTGTTGTGTATGAACTACATGCTTCTCCAACCGGGCGAGGTCATCTTCATCCCAGCAGGCGGGATTCATGCCTACATCCAGGGCGATATCATTGAATGCATGGCACGTTCTGACAATGTTCTCAATACTGGATTTTGCCCCAAGGCCGAGCGAGACAATGTCGATGAGTTCTGCTCAGTGCTTAACTGGGAGCCCACGACCAAGTCACAGACGACACTGCAACCAGAAACTTATCCTGGAAGTAAAGAGGGCAAGACCCAGCTTTTCAAACCACCTACCAGCGAATTCAACGTGCTTGCGACTGACCTGAAGTCTGGTGACCGTGAGGCATTGAGTGAAGGTGGTCCCAAGATTATGCTTGCAACACGTGGAAGCGCAAGTGTAAAGGCAAACGATCAGTCGTTTGAGCTGTCCGAGGGCCATGTGTATTTCATTGCTCAAGGAGTGAAGCTGGATATCACTGCTGGCAGTGGTGGTCTGTTGCTGCATACTGCGGTTGCGGAATGATTGGCTATGATGTTTAACGAAGGAGACGGTTCAGCTTGTGAAATTAGTTGAGATGGGTAATCAATGGAAGAGGCTCTTAAGCGTGTAGTTTAAACAGATGTCACAAAGTCTCGTGTAAGAAGCTCAAGTTCAGTCCTAAACCATTGCACACGCTGAACTTGGAGATACAGTCGTTTTTGGTTACATGTTCACCTGTATGTTCCTTCCGGCGTACTGGTAAACTGAACGGGAACTGATTTGATATTAAATCTCGTTTACCGGCCACTGCGGCATGGAGGAAATAGCTAAAGGTGTAGGTTCGACTTTAGTTGATAGTGTCCTAGACGGATCCGCCTGTGAAAGTCCGGGTCCATGTATCTACCAAAAGCTTCACAAGCCGTTTCTTAGGTATCTCGTATGAGGCTCGCCGCACCCACGATACTTAATCACCACTAAACCAAAACCAAATGATACAAGTATGACCCTGAATAACCGTACGGTTAAATTCTAGTGCAAAAGGTCAAAAACATACAACAGCGGGGATTCGCTGGTCGTCACCGACCCAACTACTAATCCGCCGGTTAGTGGCTTGACTATGGGAGAGCAGACGGGATCCCGTATTTTCCACTACCTATGGTCGTATGTACCTATCGACTACGGGAAGAGGACCATATCCTTAGCCTTTGTTCCTGTTAATCCATAGCGCCTGGAGTACGTTACCGTAGATCCCGTTTACGATGGATAACTGAACCCCCAAAAGAAAGGGTGGAAACCTATTGCTACATGTATGAGAATCTGGTGAGGAAGAAAGGAGAAGGTTGAGAAGCGGCTGTGATGTGGTTGCGGGTGGTGTTTTAGTTTTAGGCAGGCATGGAGCATTAGCCAGGCAGGTAAGAGTGCACTGTGTTAAGTGTGCCACTGGGACGAAAGAACGGACAGTGCGACTGTTCCGTGATTCACACTCGTCTTCGCCTTCTTCTTTTCACAACTTCTCAACACTCTTCACCATGAGATTCCTACACATGCAAACAATTCCCGAGGCTGATCTCATATACTTGAACGATCTGGCATTTGGACGATACAAAGCTCTTATTTCGTCCGAGTTCCCTGAGCGCCTCCCTTATTCTGGGCATTCCAATTTAGCCAACACGCTGTTTGCGTCTAAGTGTTGCAAATGTCTACATTCAACGGAATTATATCTGAATTCCCAGACATCAGAAGTCAGTTAATCTACGAGAAATGGTGAACATGGTCTTACAAAATCCCAGTTGACTTTTTCCGGCGCAATGCCGGTGCACAACCACCACTTGCTTGTTTCCTAAGTCATGTTCACAGCGACCATTTGGCTGGGATCGAGAGCCTGCGATCTCCATTGTACGTCCCCTAAATTGGTTGAGTATTCTGCTAATTTTATGTCCAGTGTCTACTGCTCAGCAGCCACCAAAGAGATCCTTCTTCGCCTTGAACGATATCCTTGTCGCATCAACTATGCTAAGGGGGTGCTGGAATTAAGACAGCAAACCTTCAAGCATCTCCGCAAAGTCTTGGTATGTATACCCTCTATTTCCCCGACCTCATATTGAAGAGAATAGAAACCCTTGCCTTTGGAAACGCCTACATCGATCGAGCTTTGCCCGGGCCGCGAGATCCAGGTAACTCTTTTTGACGCCAACCATTGCCCTGGGGCGGTGATGTTCTGTAGGTTGACACCGAAAAACAATCTTTACTGTTTCTAACCGAATAAAGTGGTCGAGGGAGATAACAAAGCAGTTTTATACACCGGAGATATTCGAAGCGAACCATGGTTCGTGAATGCTCTTTCCCGGAATCCGAATCTCATCGAGTACACGTCTGGCATCAAGACCATCGATAAGATCTATCTTGACACATCTTTCACTGAGAATGTGCCTTTTCAGACAAAAGCCCAAGGCATCGCTGAATTGCTGCGAAAGGTTTCCCAATACCCCAGTGATACCATCTTCCACTTACAAGCCTGGACTTATGGATATGAAGACGTCTGGCTCGCCCTATCTAAGGCTTTAAAATCCAAAGTCAGTTAGAATGGTCTCAAAGTTCGCCGATCTCTGGTCACTGATATTGGCAGATTCATGTCGACGATTACAAACTCCGGATCTATGGTTCGCTCAAATCAAAAACCCCTGACTCGAGATTCGACACAGACATTCATCTGACTCCAGAGTCGCCGGCTCTGACTGGCCACATGTGTGGCAACACGCCGCAGCCAGGGTGCTTAACGTCAGATACAGATGTTCGCTTACACAGTTGTGAAAAAGGAAACTTGTGCGAAGTGGCTCAAAGACCTAACACTATCTCTATTCAACCTATCGTTGCGCACCTGCCTACAGGAGAGGACTTGGCTGAAGTTGGTGTTGGCGGTGGCGGAGTTGATCTTCAACGAGAAGCCGAGTTGGAGTTTTTGGACCAAGCTAGCTTGGCCACGCTATTCAATACGTTTGTACATTGTATCACTTTTGCGAGAGACATGCTAATTGCGAACCCAAGGTTTCTATCCTCATCTATCTCTTCAACCGACATGTCAGATATACTCGAAGGGACCTTGGAGAAGATAGCCTCCGCCGGTCGCAACATTCCACTGGACTGGGACATCAACACCTTGAACGCTCACTCTGCTGAGGAAGTTATCATGATGCTGGTGGACAAAGTGAGAAAGAATCCCAAAAACCAGAAGCAGCGTGACGAGTGCAGTCTCCCAAGAACGATTTACTTTCCATATTCAAGGCATTCTTCGTTACCAGAACTCCGCCACTTCGTCCAAGCTTTCCGGCCACTAGACGTGTGGCCATGCACTGTCAATAACGCTGAGTGGCTAAAGAATGGTAAGTAATGCATATGGACCTACGCGTCTTTAGCTGACATAAAGAAGGGATCACCATCGGGGGCCTGTTTGGGCCATCATGTTCCGGTGAATTGTTTGAGCATGATTTGGTGATGCAGGATTTTGCTGCCACACACACATCAGATGACGGACATCGGCAACATTGCAGCCAGACAACGATCGGATCCGACTCCGTCCCGAGCTCACCAGTCCGTGAGTCACAGGGTGCAAGTCAGAAACGCCGTAACAATATAAACAATCGATTCGTAAGCCCCTTATTGGATACACAAGCAAGTATTCGTCACGGGCGCATCGTCTCGGAAGTGGAATGCCCAGAGGAGAACCTAGAAGCTCCATCCGAAAAATCTACTCAGCAGTCGCTCGTAGTTCAAACCATCGAGCAATCAGAGGACGAGGAGCAAGAGAACCACATTCAACCGGAATCACTGACAAATAACTCATCCGATTCGCCAGCACCTGTTTCTTGCCGTTGCAAACGTACCGTTTCTGACACTTCAGTAAGTGGAAATGGCAGTAACAGGAGACAAATGCGCCAAATTACTGGAGAACCGTTACCCCTGAAATTACCAGACGAGGCCTCGATTGGTCGCCAAGATGCATATTGGCATATGGTTGATTACATGGACGAGGGTACTAGGGGTTCGTTACAGCTTATATCTACGAGCAACGAGTACACAGTCAATGAACCGGAACTGTGATAGACGGTAGATTCTATAATATTCCAATTCAGCAACTCGTGTTTCGAGCAAAGGTTACCATGCTTCATTCCGGACAGAATACAACGCTTTATGCTGGTGCTAAGGGCACCCGTGCCTATACAACAGCTTCAGCGACCATCTGCTTAGGCCACTGCATCATTCCTAAGAAATTTGGCCTGCCGGTTAAGCCCTCTTCTAACTTGGCCATCACCTGTCGAGACCAACCCCTCGTGAACCAGAAGCCTTTCTCAAATACTGCCCAGTGCACAAGGTAATGTGCGAAGAGAAGAAGAGCATGTGGCCTTTGTGCAGCTAAGTCGATGAGTATACTGTCATCAATAATGTATAGCCAAAAATGTGCCGCTGCGACCTCTGCATGTAACCCAGCAGCAGCAAATAGTCTCGCAGAGGTTTCCAGACCTTCAACAGCTGATGTATAATGTTGCAGGCCGCTAGCAGGGATATCAGCTTCTTGGAAGGCTCGAAGCCTTTGCAATGCGGTCCATGTATCTGTGGGTAGAGACGAGTTCTCGAGAGAGGGACAGCTATGGGTTGGGTCAGCTTCTTCCAAGGTAAGATCACAGCCTCGGGCATAGATACCGTTCTGCCTCGGAGTCAGAGTCAAGGCCCCAAATTCCGAAGACGACAGGAGCGAATTCCGTTTTGACTATCCGCCCCATTGCTGGTTCTAATGTCGTCTTGATACCCCTTAGCAACCCAGCAAGTTCGATGAGGTTTGTGATGGGGTCTTCCAGTGCACAGTTATTCATCCGGGTGGGTAGGGTCAACATATGCAGCACAACAAGAGATGCAAAGCCAAAAACAGGCATCCAATTGGTCATGCTATAGTGTTGGAGGTAACGACGATACCCCTCGGAGCCAAGAGTTTGATGATAGTCAGCCAATGGCAGATACGTCTTGCGATTATCTGGCACCAGATAGGCCTTGTGGGCAGCGGCAATGGCAAGGATTCCATGCATGACGAAAGGGTCTTGGTAACCTAATCTTGGAATAGCGACGCCCCAGACGTATGCCAGATCTTTCCGGACACACAAAGTATCCGCGGTTACTGTGCAGTAGTGATGCATAAGCTCACAATCGCGGGCCCAGAGTTCATGTGGAGGGAAGGGAGCGATCTGCTGTGTGGGACTGGGGTGACTGTAGCTGCCAAAGGGATCAGGGGAGTTGACTAGATGATGGCTGTCTAAGGAACTCAGAGTTGGAGCTGGGGTTGAATCTGAGGGGCTCAAGTTGGGAAAATATGACGAACGACTGTCACTGCTGCCGTCTACTGACGAGATGCCTAGACTGGTTAAAGGCTGTGACGCGAGACTGCATGTTACGCCATGTCTTGTGCAGTGGAAACATGATGGTCGAGCCTCATCACACTACTTTGGTTAGACACAGAGAACGGTTATGGAGAAGCCTAAGTCTCGTGCTCGGAAAGGGCGCTATATTTTACGAACCTTGACTTTACGCTTCTTACAGTTTATACAGCCCGTCCGAGATTTGGTATGAGTTCTTCGAGAAGACATTGTATGATTGGTTTGTAAACCCGCGGGTTCGTATCACGAACAAACGGCAAAGCGAAGAGAAAATTGAGAGACAGGAGAGAACCAGCTTAGAGACACTCTTTTCACATGGACTCGGGACAATGCAGAGCGAGGCAAATGACGAGTACGCGGAAACAGCCTTCTATACGCGTACTCGGAGCCGCTAGGGTTGTTTTAGGAGGAGAGAGTAAGTCAGCATCCTTGTCGTCGGGACGTTGAGGCTCCCGTCAGTGGCAGATCGACCAATCTGAAGCAAAGTATGCTGAGACTTGAGCTTCATTGGGACAAGAATGGATATTTACGAGTACTCGCAAAGTGTTCGGAGATTTATCAGATATACGAGAATGGCCTTGGCTGTGCGAAGGGAGTAAGTTAGATGGTAGAAACATGGAGTATAAAAGAAGATGTCCTGTTTCCTTTGATGGTACGAATTAAACATTGTTCAGCAGTTGAGTGGTTCCTAGCAGGTTTGTTTCTTTGTGCTGAGTACCTACCTAGCTGTTCTTTTCCTGTCCTTTCCTAGCCCTTCGTATTTCATCTTTCAAACTCTATCTAAACCTTGACTGTTCGTCGGAAACACTAGTCGGGTGGTTAATATGGACTGCAACCCCAACTACAAGGATGCCGTTTGGGCATTCTATCGATTTGTGCCGTCAAAGGAGGCAAACATTGTGTTTGTAGTTCTCTTCGCGATAACGACGCTCCTCCATGTCTTTCAACTCTGGCGAACAAGAACATGGTATTTAATCCCATTAGTTTTGGGCGGAGTCTGTACGTTTTGCCCACATTCCGATTGGCGGTACAAGGACGCCGAACTAACCAAGGGTACCCAGGCGAGGTTATCGGATATATCGGGCGGGTTTTGAACACAAACGAAGAGCCGGGGTGCTGGACGATGGGACCCTACATCATGCAGAGTGTCTTGATTCTCATTGCGCCTGCGCTCTTTGCCGCGTCGATTTACATGATCTTGGGAAGAATTATTCTCTTGACGGAGGGTGAACACCACTCGTTGATCCGACGGAAGTGGCTCACCAAGATCTTTGTATTTGGAGATGTTGCATCGTTTATGCTTCAATCATCAGGTATGAGGGCTCGTCCTTGTGTGAATGAATGATGGATGGAGATGCTGACTTTTCAGGGGGCGGACTCATGGCTATTGCAGATCTCAGCAAAATGGGCGAAAAAATCATCGTTGGAGGTCTTTTCGTTCAGCTCTTCTTCTTTGGTTGCTTCATCATCGTAAGCGCGGTGTTCCACATTCGAATGCGTCGGGACCCCACCCCGAGATCCTTAGAATCTCGCGTAAGGTGGCAGACATATCTCACGACACTCTACGTCACAGGAATTCTGATCTGGGTGAGGAGTTTGTTCAGGGTGGTTGAGTTCATCGAAGGAAATGATGGGCACTTGATGCGCAGCGAGGTTTGGGTATTTGTGTTTGATGGCATGCTGATGCTGCTGGTGTTGGTATGGATGAACTGGTTCCATCCTGGCGAGATCGGACTCCTGATCAGGGGAGAGAGAAGCATCACGAACGGACTCGAGCTGGTCAAGATGGGAGGAGGATCGGGGAGAAAGAGACTCGATACCATGCAGAGCCTATCGTCTGAACACAATGTTTGAGTTAAGGATAGGAGATTTGCTAGCATCGGATCATGAGATTCTGATGCTAAAATAGAATAGTGCCCCCCTGCGGCTAGAACCTCCCCCTGTAAATCGAAAGCTTAGCGCATACACCAGCCAATCACCCAATTCCTCAGCTGGGCCTGAGACGGACAAGACATGTCTCAAACTAACATGATGCATTCCAAGGAAAATACACGGGACTAACTGCTGCGGTACATAGCTTCATGGGGAAGTACCTCGGGATGACAATTGACTTATCAACATGATGGCATTACCATTAGCTCTAGGTTCAGCTGCGTCGATAAGAAGTGGCGCTTGGCTAGGTAGGGAGAGAGGTTTTTATCTAGGTAGCGTAGCCTGGCTGTGCCTCTTGTTTCTGTTCCTTTTGTATCTTGTGTAAATATATTCTTGTCAATTCATCGGATCTTCTCTGGAGAAGTATCATCATGACTGTTCTGGGCGACATATTGACTGAAGTCACCTTCATTCGCGTCTTTCTCTTCGGCTCTCTCTTCTTGCTCGCATCGTTCATTGTCGATCTGCTCACTCAACCGCGTTATCCTTCTGAAATTCCAGTTCTTGGTCACAGCTCAGAGAAATGGTTCTCTAGAATCAGAAACAGTCTCGCCTACTTCACTCAACACCAAGCCTGGATTGGCGAAGGCTACGAAAAGGTAACCCCTCCAACCCACACTACCACCACTCGTTTTCTAAGAGAAATAGTATGGCAAAAATGGCCTTCCATTTATTGCTCCAGCGCCCATATCGCGTCCTCCAGACGTCATCCTCCCCCGTTCTCAGATCGCCTGGATGATGGACCAGCCCGATCGAATCCTCTCAGCATCCCACGCCCACGACAAGATCCTCTACACAGAGTATAACTTCCTCGGAAAAGACCTCGCCGCGGAGCCCTTTGCGAACCGCGTCATGCACAAGTATCTCGCCCGTAACTTGTCATCAGCGATACCAGCAGTCGAAGACGAAGTCAACGGTGCTGTTGAGCATGCGCTAGAGACCATGATGAAAGCAGCTGCCGAGAAAGACCCCAAAAATGTCGACGGCGAAGGCTACACCAAGGTCAATCTCTGGGATCTTTGGCTTGCGATTGTCCCTCGCGTTACGAACCGTCTTCTCGTTGGCAACCCAGCATGTCAAAACCCTGACATCTTGAAGCCAATGGTGAGCTTCACTGACAACGTCGTAATGAACAGCTTCTTGCTACATGGCTTCCCTCAAGTTCTCCATCCGATTATTGGCCGTCTGATCACCATACCAAACTATCTCCATTGGCGCAAAGCATCCCGTGTCCTACTGCCGATCATTGAACAGCGCTTGAAAGATATGCAGCGCCAGGAGGCTGGCGATCCTGAGATGAAGAACTACACGCCTCCAGAGGACTTCATCACTTGGGATATTCGTCTTGCGATGGCGGAGAAGAAGCCCTTTGAGCTTAATCCCGTTGTCATCTCTAAGCGGCTCTTACCAATCAACTTTGCTGCTATCCACACAACCGTCTTGACAGGTCAATCTTGGATGCTGGATTTTCTGTCTTCTCCACCATCTGTTCTTGAAACACTGCGCAACGAGATCCTCGAACACAAGCCGTCTGAAGGCCACTGGACGAAACAGGCCCTTTCCTCCCTAGTTCGCGTCGACTCATCCATCCGCGAATCCCAGCGTGTAAGTAACTTTGCCGCCAACCTCATCGAGCGACAGGTTATTGCACCAGAAGGTCTGCATCACCCTGACTACGGATGGACTTTGCCGCGCGGGGCATTCGTGACGGTCAACTTGCAAGGAACGCACCACGATGACGAGATTTATGAGGACGCCATGAGCTATGATCCCTGGCGATACTCACGGGTCCGTGAAGAGTGGGAGGCCAAGTCGGCTGAGGAGAAGCAAGAAAGGGACGAAGAGGCTAAGAAGATAAGAGGATTGGGAATGGTGACAACTAGTGATGCTCACCTGGCTTTTGGTCACGGCCGACATGCTTGGTAAGTCTCATAGATATCTATGAGTTTTACTGCTAACGTTGTGAAGCCCTGGCAGATTCTTCGTTGCTCATGAGCTCAAGCTCATCATGGCTGCATTCCTTCTCAACTACGACATCAAGACTCTCGAGAAACGACCAAAGCCCCAATGGATGGGCGCCACTATCATTCCTCCCCTGGACGCATGCATCGAAATTCGACGAAAGAAATCAACATGATTGAGTCGGCTATTGCAAAATCTAACTGTACCCGCCATGGGCCTCTCCGTCATTAAGAGTCACCCCGTTACGCTTATCCTCCATCAACCTCGTCAGCGCCGTCACCAACTTATCAACAGCCACCTCAGACGTCTGATGATGAAACACGAGCCTGGCCATGGGGAAGACCGAGACATCCTCATTTGCGCAGTACTCAACGAATGCCGCGGGTGGGATGCCAGCGGCTTCCAGATCTAGCAGAATCATGTTGGTCTGGACAGGGAGTGTGAACTTGTATCCCACTGCTTCGAGTCTCGCAGCAGCATCTTTCGTCATGGCATGCACAGACGGAAACCTCGGGATGCTGTACTCGAGCGCAGACAGAGCTGCAGCGGCCATCATACCCGGCTGTCGAGTTCCTCCTCCCAACATCTTCCTGAACCACTTCGCCCGCTCAATGAAGGGCTTCTTGCCGAGGATGACGCTGCCCATTGGGGCACCGATACCTTTGGCTAGACAGATAGATATACTGTCAAAGCAGGCTGTGTAGGCCTTGAGGTCAACACCTTCTCCGATGACACCGTCAAAGACACGAGCTCCGTCTAGATGCATGGCAATGGGCTTCTGGCCTTCCGGTACAGGGAATGAACGGACATAGTTTGAGATGGCTTGGGCATCAGCAAGTGGCAGAATAGTGCCCGAGAGTGTATTCTCTAGAGATACCACCCTTGTAGGTGGGAAGTGAACTATCAAGTTAGTTACGTATATCATACTTTAAGACGAATCAACATACTGTTCCCATCAGCGATGATGTTCTTCTGAACGTCCTCCAACGTCAGATGCACTCCGCTCTTTGCATGAACCGTCGTGACACTCGCCTGTGAAATCACTGGCAGAGCACCACTCTCCCAACAATGCACATGTGCCCTATGATCTAGCAGCACACTATGCGGTGGCTGGGTAAGATGTGTTCGCAAACAAATTTGGTTCCCCTGAGTACCAGAAACAGCCCATAGAGCAGCCTCCATGCCCGTCAACTCGACAAGTCGAGCCTCCAGAGCCTTGACAGAAGGGTCACCTTCAGGGTCGTAGATGTCGTCGTTTACCGAGGCCTCGAGAATAGATGTCATCATCTCCTCGATGGGGACGGTAACGACATCTGAGCGGAAGTCACGAGAGGCGTTCTCCCGGCTAGCAAGCAACTTGGCTTGGACCTTTGGTGTGAATGGGGATTCGGGGGTTGTTAGGGAAGGCATTTTGGGCTTGTGACGCTGTGTTTGATGGTGAGTGAGGTAGGAGATTACTTTCAATGGACTATCAGGGGCTTTTTATATTTATGTAGTTTACACGTATTTTATACCCCACATTCAGTGAGGGGAATCTATGTGTTGCTGCTCTGCGTTCGTTATCTCTGTGGTGAGTGTTGATCTGGAGTTTCCCGCGGGGATGTGTCAGTCCCAATTGTGAGACCGGGTCGTAAAAGATGTTGTGGATCTTAACTCTCTGGACGTAGCTCGGGATCTACTCCAATTCTTTGACTGTACAATGAACTATGAATGTCTTGACTTTCTATCTCTCATGAAACTGTTTCTCTAGGATAGTGCTTCACACTCACCCCCATGTCACAGATCAATGCTACATCTGGTCTTGCAAAATGCGTCTTCTCATCTATACAGAGCCCCAAATCTACCATCCCTTTTGATTTGTGACTTGTTCGGGCACTTACATATGCATGGCAGTCTATTATCGCCTGGCATCCCCACAGTCAAAATCCGCGGGCAACTTTGAGTTGCCCGCGGTTGCGCGGCTCAAAGAGAACGACCAATCTTGTGGGCAGTGTCTACTATTTACTTTCGATAGAGAAAAATAAATATTGACTCGCTTCTCAGTTGCATACTAATAGCTTGTCTTTTTGGGTCTTAGGGTTATACTGGCTGAAACATGCCAATAGCTCAATAGTGTGAACAGAACTTTTGTTATTTGATAGATGCATTATAACTTAGCATTGTTGCCATTCATAGGCCCATGCTCAAACACGCTCTCTATAACTACAAGTCAAACCCCAATCCATCTGTATTTCCCAGGAAAATGCCCCCGTTCTTCCCTTCTCTCAAAAGAGCACCAACGTCCACTCTTCCACCCGTGATATACCTCTCGCTAACACCCAGGTTCACTCTTCTGCTCAACTCCTCTCTCAGTTGAGCCTTCAAAGCACCCATTTCGGCCTTGGACAGGCTCTTGGCTGCCTGCTCCTTTCTCCTTCGTCCACCACCTCGACCCCCCTTGCCACCACTTGCATTGACAGCCTCGAGATCTTCAGAGTCGTATTCTACTCCAAGTTCATCAGCTGCATTTCGTAGCCATGTATCGTCGCTGTGGGCCTTTTCCTTGGCTAGTACAGTATCGGCGATCTTTTTGGCCAGGTCCACGCGGGGCTTGAGACGCGATGCCATCTTTCTATCAATAAGGAGAGTCTGAATAAAGTGCTCTCTCTTTGCACCCGAGCTACGCTCGGCGTGGACTTTGCTTGCAAGACGTCGAGTAGGGAGGACTTCGTCAGGTGAGCACAGAATCACACTCACGCCACTAGACTCGCCACGAGCTGTACGACCAGATCGGTGGATGTAAGTATCCGCAGATCGGGGGACATGGTAGTGCAGAACCTGGTCAACCTGCTTGATATCGAGACCACGGGCGGCAACATCGGTGGCAATGAGAAGAGAATTGCGAGCAGCAGTGAAACGCTCAAGTGAACGAAGGCGCGCCTTTTGTGCCATTTGGGAGTGCAGAGGCAGCGCTGTGAGGTTAAGATTCGAGAGAAGCGGTGTTAGACGGCGAACAGCAGAGATAGAGTTGGTGAAGACGAGAGTACGGCGACCGGGGTTGAGAAGGAGAACGGTGTATAGATAAAGATCCTGTACAAAGTTAGCATGCTGTGCATGTCTTGCTTATTCTCAAAACTCACCTTTTCCATAGCACCACATTCAATAAGTCCTTCCTTCAACCCCTGAGCCATCTGGCTTACGGGGTTGACATCGATGAATTTAGGCTCACCCCTGAATTTCAGGCATTTCATCAGATAAGCCATCTTCTCCTCATCACTTCCTGTAGATTTGCCCTTTCCTGCCAATTTGGTCTGAAGGTCCTTGTCGAAAGTTGCCGAGAAGACCAATGTCTGTCGTGCACTGCTCTCTTCGTCCTCTTCATCTTCCTCCTCGTCCTCATCTGAGCTCTCTGCATCGTCGCCCGGGCTTTTCCCATCTAGAGCACCAATAATATCCTCTGCCTCCTTGAATTGACCAACTTTAAAGAGTCGATCAGCTTCGTCGACGACAAGGAACTTGATCTTGGCGAATTTGCTTTGCAAAGCCCTATCGCCACTAAGAACCTCCCATAAGCGACCTGGTGTGCCGATAACAATCTCAGCCTTCTCCAATTGTCGCTGCTGTTTCTGAATACTGAGACCACCTGTCACAACACACACGTACGGCGCGCTGGGAAGACCGTCACAGAGTGCCTTGAGATGATCACCCAATTGCTTGGCCAATTCTCGTGTAGGAGAAAGTACCACAGCCATAGGACCAGTTCTCTTGACACCCTGCTCTTGCAACTCCAACCAGCGCTCAACCATGGGAATACCGAAAGCCAAAGTCTTTCCTGAACCTGTCTGTGCCTTGCCAATAACGTCATCGCCAGCCAGAATCTCGGGAATCGTCTTCTCCTGAATCAAAGTCGGCTTGGTAAACTTGAGTTTCGCGATGGCTGAGAGAATTTGAGGCGATAGGTTCAGAGGAACCCAGGCCGCCATGTCGACGTCTTCTTGGTCTGCGTAGTCGTTCGCATCGGCCAACGCGCCGAACGTGTTGCCCCCGCGTGCAGAGGACTTTTGTACGACTTTCGAGGCCTTGTCCAGCTGCTCGTCTTCTTTTTCGGCGCCACTGTTCTTCCCATCCAATTTGTTTTTGTTTTTGTTCTTCTTCGTCTTTTCTTGTTCTGCTTTCCCTTGCCCAGCCTTGCCCTTATTCTTCCCTTGAGGCTTCTCGCTCTCCAAGCCACCTTGACCACTGCCAGCTTCGCCGGAATCGATATCCCCGACCTCCAAAGGGTCGTCGCCAAACCCTTCAAAAGATTCGTCCCCATCGAGAACTTCTTGTTGAGGATCGATTATGTTGCTCTTGTCGCCGGCCACGAGGAATTGCACTTTGCTACCATCCTTGACCACGTCCACGCCCTCGATAACCTCTAGTCCTCCAAAGTCCTCGCCTACCGAGGACCAAGCGAGGGCTGTAGCGTCGACAGCTCGGCGCGATTCTTTTCCACCGGATTTCTTCTTGGAGATGTTCTTTGATCGTTTGGAGGCGGGACCAGTCGCAGTTGGAAGCTTGCGCTTCTTCGAAGGGGGAACCATTGAATAAATTCGAGTCGCCTCTTGTCAAGGCGATATCCGTTTCGCTTTCCGCCGTTTCTTTCTATTGGGTGAGTCGGCTGAACGGGGTTTCTGTTGTCGAGTTTGACCTCGAAGTCTGTACGAAGGTCCCCAATTTTTTGTTTTCCTCCGAACTTTTTCTTAGCTCATCGCTATCGGCAAAAGCTGTTGCCGATCCGCCGATACCCCACCAACAACAACAACAACAACAACAGGACATGAGTCGCTGGAGATTTCTTCGGTTCTCTGGAGTGATACTTATACTTCTGACTTCCACGGTTGCAATAATGAGATGAGATAAGCGGGTTTTCAAGACGACCTTATGACGCGAAGTCGGCCGTATACTACTATGATACTCTAGTCTCACCCTAAGCATACTTTGAATAGAGTCACCACTAAGACTATTCTCATAATAATTCTCATTGTAGTCAATCAATCACCTATATTCTAGCGTTAGACAACAAAAGACTTCAGATTGTAAAACAAGGAAATGTATTTCTTTTTCCATTTAGGAACCCAATAAGTATATGAGACATAATAATGCTGTTGTAACACTCCCAAATGAACCGTCATCCATTCTCTCATCCCCTTTAATGGCCAAAACACAATAATTACATGCCCTTTTCATGTTGTACATTTCAAATATCCCAACCCCAGCGCTTTACTAATGCGCTCCGCGTGCTCGTTTGGCTCCTCCACCAACTTCCGAATCTCCTCGTGGCCGCTTGTTGCCAGGCTGAAAATCGTTGGCACTGGGGTTCATACCACCGCGTCCACCACCACGGCCTCCTCGCCCTCCACGGCCAGCGTTACCATGTCCACCCTCTTGAGGTCCACTGGCTGCACGTTGGCCAGGAGGCACATAAGCTCCACCCCTTCCGCGTCCGCCACCACGAGGCATAGGGATGCCAGATCGGACTGGCTGTTGTCCCTGCTGTTGGCTTTGTTGTTGTCCTTGCTGCTGCGGTGCCTGCTGCGGTGCCTGCGTCTGTTGCTGACCTGGCTTAGCAGCGGGTGCTACACCATTTTCATTCTTAGTCGCAAATGGGTTTGGTGCAGCCGCTGTTGTAGCGTTAGCTGGAACAGCGAACGGATTGTTCGTCTTGGGACCGGGAATTCCACTGGTAGCCGGGGCTGCCCCTGCCGCCTGCGCTGGCTTAGTGTCTGAGCCTGCTTGTTGTTGTTGTCCCGCCGGAGTTGCAGCTGGTGTCCCCTGGGCAGCCTTAGCACCAGCTGCAGGTGTCGCAGGGGATGGTGATGGAGGCACGCCCGCAACCGAACCCTGTCTGGCCGGAGTAGGTTTTGCCACAGCCGGTGTTGCCGGGGGAGCCACAGCAACCTTGGCCACTTCCCAAACCTCAACCACGGGCTTCTGAGGAGTCTCGGAAACAGCCTTCTCGACTACACTAATCTTGGCATTGGCTGCTCTCAGCTTGTTCTCAGCCATGTTGATGCGTAGAGTTGACTTCTTTGACTCCATGAGCTGGGCTTGATCCCTAGCTGCGGCAATCTTGGGTTCATACTCGGTTTTGATTGTTGATTCCAGCTCCGCTTTGAGTTTGGAGCTTTCTATCTCAAGCTTCTTCTTGATGTTGGCGGCAACAATATTCTTAACTGTAGGGTTAGTCGCCAAGAATTGTCGAATGCCAGTATCATCGAGCTGAGACAGATCGGTTTGTCCAACGGATGAAGGTGTTGCAGGCACAGCAGGGGCTTCTGCTTTGGCCGGTGTTGCAGGGGGTTGATCTACAGGCTCGGTCTTGGTGACATCAGCGTTCCTGGCTGTGGGGTTCTCGGCGAGCCAGATCTGCTTTTCTTGCTCGAACTTGA